TGCTCACTGCAGTCTTGATCTCCCAGACTCAAGTGATCCTTTTACCTCAGTCTCCCGAGTGGCTGGTACTACAGTCGCATACCACCATACCTGGCTAATGAAAAAAAATTTTTTTTTTGTAAGGACGGGTCTCACTATATTGCCTAGGCTGGTCTCGAACTCCTGGACTCAAGCAATACTCTCGACTCTGCCTCCCAAAGTGTTGGGATTACAGGTGTGAGCCACCACAGATGGCCTTTATCTCTAACTTATCTAGCCACTTCTTGATTTCTCTTGAGTATTATCCCCTGACTCCCCACTATGGAAGATAAAGATTTACTTGTACTGACCACTACCACCTGCTCCCTCCTCTCCTCCTCAGGCAAACACGTAGTTCCCATGCCCCATCTTCTCAACAGGTATAGTGTGATTCTGATTAGATTAATATTCAATAGGCTTACATTATAATGTCTATGTAAATGTTAATCCCAGCTCAGTTATAAGGTTTATGATAACCTTTCTTTCTTTTCCTACACATACTTTGTTTTCCTTTGGGGTTACCAATTGTCCTTTTTTGCGGTTAGTTTAGCTTTTATAAAGTTATCACCCAAACTCATGCCTAGTTGCATACATCTCTCAATTTGTTAAAGTATATTAGTCATTCTTCCAATTTTATCTTTTTGAATAAATCTTTCTGGAAACTTCCAACTTGCTCCAATCTGGGCTTGCTACTGCTTTCTGGGTCTGCTATTTAGCAGTGCTATAGTCTTTGGATCTCCATACATTATCATTCTGGGGATCTTTTTGTTTTGCTTTGGATCCTCTATTTCCTAGTTCTTAGGTATTCCTCCTCCTTAGTTTATGTCCTCATTTTTGTACAGCATATCCTCCAGTGGATTCCCAGGGTACCTGAGAATCATTTTTTTGAATGTTTAATGTCTAAACATGGCTTTATTTTACACTCAAAATTAACTACTAGTTTAGCCAGATGTTGAATCTAGGTTAGAAGTAATTTTTTCTCAGAACTTTTTTTTTTTTTTTGAGATGGATTCTTGCTCTGTCACCCAGGGTGGAGTGCAGTGGCATGATCTCGGCTCACCACAACTTCCAACTACCAGGTTCAAGTGATTCTCCTGCCTCAGCCTCCCAAGTAGCTGGGACTATAGGCACCCACCACCATGCCTGGCTAATTTTTGTATTTTTAGTAGCGATGGGGTTTCACCATGTTGGTCAGGCTGGTCTCGAACTCCTGACTTCAGGTGATCCACCTGCTTCGGCCTCCCAAAATGCTGGAATTACAAGCGTGAGTCACCACGCTCGGTCATTTCTCAGAACTTTCAAAGCTCCATTGTCTTGCTTTTGGTGTTGCTACTGAGAAGTCTGTAGCTATTTTAATTCCTCATTCTTCGTTAGAATCTTTCTTTTCCAATTCTATGAGTCAGTAAGATTCTTTTGTTTGCAGATTTCTGAACTTTTTCAGTAATACATCTGACTGTAGGTTTGTTTTTTCTTGAGTAGGTCAGTCTATGGACTTTTCCTATCTTAAGACTCAGTTATTTTATTAATGGAAAAATTTCTCAAATTGTATTTTTGATATTTCCTTCCTTTAATTTTCTCTGTTCACTCTGAAACTCCTATTTTTAAAAATTTCTGGGCCAGTTCTCTCATTTTCTTATGTTTTTCTCTCTTCTATTTATTTTATATTCTATTTTCAGGGGAGATTTCCTCAACTTTATCTTCCAACTCTTCCACTGAGTTTTTACATTTTAGAAAAATGTATACATTAGAAAAGGTATTACATTAGAAAAATATAACATTTAGAGAACAAAAAAATGTATTAAAATATGATATTTGTTTTCTTGTTCTGCATAGCCTGTTTCCTCCCAGTTGCTTTTTTCTGTTTTTGTTTGTCTTTCATTATCAAATCCTCTCTTCAAGTGTCTGGTGATCCTTGGCTGTCTTGTCCATATAAAATAGTATAAACTAAAAAGCTAAGAGGAAATTCTGTTTGGATGGAGCTCGTTAATGGTGGGGTCCACTATAAAGTAACTGGGTGTTTCCTTGGAGCACCCCTGGGGTAAGTATATTTATAGCTGTGTATGTGTGTGTGTGTCTTTTGCCTAGAGAAAACCCTTCCAAATCTCTTGCCTGAAGGCTATCCATACTGGTACTGTGGAAAGCAAGTTGGGGAGGCCTGGGGTCTCAAATTTAGCATTTAAGTATTTACTACCCCTTTTCCAGTAGGGTGGTTCACATCGGAACGTGCCTGATCTCTCAGACCACACACATTCTGTTGTACACTTTTCAGAGAATTAAATTTTCAGTCTTTTGCTGATACAAGGAAGGAAATCTAATTCCTCTTTCAGAAGCTTCTGACCAGTTGTCTTGTCTTCAGTTCTACCTTCATCTTCACTTGTAGCTCCTGAGCTTCTAGAGAATTTTACAATGTAAGTCAAGCTGCTTCTTTGTTTTTGACCTACCATTGACTTAAGGTTCAGCTTTCTTAGGCTGCTTAGTTGTCAATTTTCATCTGTTTTCCAAGTAACAATATTTTATTGCTTCTGTTTTCTTATTTTTTGAGGGTTTATCTTTAACTGCCCTTGTCCTTGCAGTGGAACTTTAGGAGGGAACAGAGCTAAATGCTTGCACTAAAGGTGCCATGTTTAAACTAAAGTTCCTCTCTGCTCTTTTATATACTGCAGAATCACAGTTCCTACATATTGAAGGAATCCCTAAGAGGGCAGGTAGTTAAACTCTTTCCGTCAGAGAGCAAAAATGTTTAATTTGCAGATAAGGTGGTTAAAACTCCAGAAACTGAGTGTCTCGCCCCAAGAAATACAAAGTCACACAGATAGAGAACATAATATTCTATGTACCTTAAATAATTATCTCTCAAAGGTTTAATTGTTTGTTTTTCTAATTTAGGATAATTTCAGTTATAGCTAGATCCTTTTCTGTATTACCTTGGCATCCTCTTCTACAGGGCAGATGAGTTCTTATTAAGATATTACGTGTTAAACTACAGTCATGTGACACGTAATGATGTCTTGATCAACAACAGACCACATATATGATGGTGGTTCCATAAGACTCTAATGGAGCTAACAAACTCTATTGTCTAGTGACATCATAGCTGTCATAATGTCATAGTGCAATGGATTCAGTGTTTGTGGTGATGCCAGCCTACTGTGCTGCCAGTCATATGTAAGTATGGCACATACAATTATGTACAGTGAATAATAATAATCAATTGTGTTACTGCTTTATATATTTACTATACTATACTTTTTATCATTATTTTATAATGTACTTCTAGTTACATATATTAAAAAAAGAGTTAACTTTAAAACAGCATCACGCAGGTCCTTCAGGATGTATTCCAGAAGAAGGCATTGTTAACACAGGAGATGACAGCTCCATGAGTGTCACTGCCCCCCAAAGACCCTCCAGGGAGACAAAACTTGGAGGTGGAAACAATGATACTGATGATCCTGACCCTGGTTAGGCCTAGCCTAATGTGCTTGTCTCCATTTTTAACAAAAAAGCTTAAAAAGTAAAATAAAAAAAATTCAAAACTAGAAAAAGATCACAGAATAAAGATGTAAGAAAAAGAATTTTTGTACAGCTAAAAAATGTGTTTTGAGCTAAGTGTTATTACAAAAGAAACAAAATTTAAAAAAAAAAGTTCATAAAGTAAAAGTTACAGTAAGGTAAGATTAATTTATTTTGAAGAAAGAACTATTGTTTAAATAAATTTAGTGTAGCCTAAGTGTACAGTGTTTATAAAGTCTACAGTAGTGCACAATAATCCTAGGCCTTCACATTCACTCACTGCTCACTCATTCATTCGCCCAGAGCCACTTCCAAGCTCCATTCATAAGAAGTGCCCTAGACAGGTGTACCATTTTTTTTTCCTGTATACCTTACAATTTTCTGTACCTTTTATATGTTTAGATACAAAAATACTTACCATTGTTATAATTGCCTACAGTATTCAGTACAGTGCCATGCTATATAGGTTTGTATCCTAGGAGTAACAGACTATACCACAAGCTTAGGTGTGTAGTAGGTGGTACCATTTCGTTTGTATAAGTACACTCTACGATGTTTGCACTATGATGAAATTGCCTAACAACACACTCCTCTGAATATATCACTGTTGTTAAGCTATGCATGGCTGTTATAAAATGTGGTTAAATGTGAAGTTGGCTTATAATAATTTCAGACACAACCAGGTTTTTAAAGCAGTGGATATGCCTTAGCTATATCCTTTCGAGAAATGTATATAAAGAATTTTACAGGCTGGATGCAGTGGCTCATGTCTGTAATCCCAGCACTTTGGAAGGCCAAGGTGGACAGATCACTTGAGTCCAAGAGTTCCAGAGCAGCCTGGCCAATATGGCAAAACCCCGTCTCTAATAAAAATACACAAATTAGCCAGGCATGGTGGCACACACCTGTAATCCCAGCTTCTTAGGAGGCTGAGGCATGAGAATCACTTAAACCCAGGAGGTGGAGGCTGCAGTGAGCCAAGATTGAGACTCTGTCTCAAAAAAAAAAAAAAAAGAAAAGAAAAAAAGAATTTTACAGAGTATCAAAATATAATTTAAATGTAGTTTGTATAGCTTTTTATACGGTAAATCAATTATTTTTAATTTTCAAGAAATATTTTAAATGGAAAAAACAGCTTGGTTTGTTCCAACTTCCATCATTTATTTGTTAAATTTTATAAGAAAACACAGGCTTTGAAGAAAAGGCGTTTGTAGAGAAAAAAAGGAGTGGGATTTGGGAAAGATTCAACTTATTTTAAAATGATGCTACTTTCTTTTATTTCCAGTGTGATACAGGCTACAGCCTTAAAATATTACTAAAGTATAATAATAAAATACTTTTGATAATTCCTTTTAGTCCATAAAAGTTTTAAGAGCTTTATGAAACTGGGCACTAACAGAGCTTTCATAAATGCAGCACTCTATGGAGGAAAATGAAGAATGAGGAGAAAATTGTCCTTAAATACTTACAGATTCTTTTCTGCCCATAGTTTTGCTGTGTGAGCGGGAACGTGAGATGTTGCTAAAAAAGGAATCTTTTTTAGTAGCAGATGAAGGTGGGGAGCCAGTGAATTCTCTTCCTCCAGGCAAACTCTCAACACTTGGAGATGAACTGATGTTTTTAGAACTTTGCCCTGTAACAAAAATTAAGTAGCAATAATGAAACACCAGACTCTTTCACTAAGCTACTTAATCTGTTTTTAATAAATGATCAATTATGATACCACTAGGTTGATACTATCAACATAATGACACTATGGAGTATTAAAATGCATGCATTCGTATGTATCAGAATAGCCACCAGTTTTTTAAAAAATAGTGAAGTATCTGCCACCATAGTTTTCTATGTTTTTTATACTACAATTATCCAAGCATTGCACACATATAAAAGAACTAAAAAAAAAAAAGCAGGGGGGCACCCAAGATGGCCGAATAGGAACAGCTCCAGTCCCCAGTTCCCAGCGTGAGCAACACAGAAGACGGGTGATTTCTGCATTTTCAACTGAGGTGCAGACTGACACCTCACACCTCACACAACTGGGTACACCTCTGAGACGAAGCTTCCAGAGCAAGAATCAGACAGCAACACCCACTGTTCAACAATATTCTATCTTCTGCAGCCTCCACTGCTGATACCCAGGCAAACAGGGTCTGGAGTGGACCTCAAGCAAACTCCAACAGACCTGCAGCTAAGGATCCTGATTGTCAGAAGGAAAACTAACAAACAGAAAGGACACCCACACCAAAACCCCATGAGTACGTCACCATCATCAAAAACCAAAGGCAGATAAAACAACAAAGATGGGGAAAAAGCAGTGCAGAAAAGCTGGAAATTAAAAAAATCAGAGCGCATCTACCCCTCCAAAGGAACACAGTTCATCGCCAGCAATGGAACAAAGCTGGACAGAAAATGACTTTGACGAGTTGAGAGAAGAAAGCTTCAGTCGGTCAAAATTCTCAGAGCTAAAGGAGGAACTACATACCCAGCGCAAAGAAACTAAAAACCTTGAAAAACGAATGGATGGATGGATAACAAGAATAATCAATGCAGAGAAGACCATAAAAGAACAGATAGAGATGAAAACCATGACACGAGAACTACGTGACAAATGCACAAGCTTCAGTAACCGAATCGATCAACTGGAAGAAAGAGTATCAGTGACTGAAGATCAAATGAATGAAATGAAGCGAGAAGAGAAGTGTAGAGAAAAAAGAGTAAAAAGAAATGAACAAAGCCTCCAAGAAATATGCGATTATGTGAAAAGACCAAATCTACGTCTGATTGGTGTGCCTGAAAATGACAGAGAAAATGGAACCAAGTTGGAAAACACTGCAAGATATCATCCAAGAGAACAACGTCCCCAACCTAGTAAGGTAGGCCAACATTCAAATTCAGGAAATACAGAGAATGCCACAAAGATACTCCTCGAGAAGAGCAACTCCAAGACACATAATTGTCAGATTCACCAAAGTTGAAATGAAGGAAAAAATGTTAAGGGCAGCCAGAGAGAAAGGTCGGGTTACCCACAAACAGAACCGCATCAGACTAACAGCAGATCTCTCGGCAGAAACTCTACAAGCCTGAAGAGAGTGGGGGCCAATATTCAACATTCTTAAAGAAAAGAATTTTCAACCCAGAATTTCATATCCAGTCAAACTAAGTTTCATAAGTGAAGGAGAAATAAAATCCTTTACAGACAAGCAAATGCTTAGAGATTTTGTCACCACCAGGCCTGCCCTACAAGAGATCCTGAAGGAAGAACTAAACATGGAAAGGAACAATCGGTACCAGCCATTGCAAAAACATGCCAAAATGTAAAGTTAATCAATGCCAGGAAGAAACTGCATCAACTAATGAGCAAAATAACCAGCTAATATCAAAATGACAGGATCAAGTTCACACATAACAATATTAACCTTAAATGTAAATGGACTAAATGGTCCAATTAAAAGACACAGACTGGCAAACTGGATAAAGAGTCAAGACCCATCAGTCTGCTGTATTCAGGAGACCCATCTCACATGCAGAGACACACATAGGCTCAAAATAAAGGGATGGAGGAAGGTCTACCAAGCAAATGGAAAACAAAAAAAAGCAGGGGTTGCAATCCTAGTCTCTGATAAAACAGACTTTAAACCATCAAAAATCAAAAGAGACAAGGCCATTACATAATGGTAAAGGGATCAATTCATCAGGAGAACTAGCTATCCTACATACATATGCACCCAATACAGGAGCACCCAGATTCATAAAGCAAGTCCTTGGAGACTTACAAAGAGACTTAGACTCCCATACAATAATAATGGGAGACTTTAACACCCCACTGTCAACATTAGACAGATCAACGAGACAGAAAGTTAACAAGGATATCCAGGAATTGAACTCAACTCTGCAACAAGCAGACCTAACAGACATCTACAGAACTCTCCACTCGAAATCAACAGAATATATATTCTTCTCAGCACCACATTGCACTTATTCCAAAATTGACCACATAGTTGGAAGTAAAGCACTGCTCAGCAAATGTAAAAGAAGAGAAATTATAACAAACTGTCTCTCAGACCACAGTGCAATCAAACTAGAACTCAGGACTAAGAAACTCAATCAAAACCACTCAACTACATGGAAACTGAACAACCTGCTCCTGAATGACTACTGGGTACATAATAAAATGAAGGCAGAAACAAAGATGTTCTTTGAAACCAATGAGAACAAAGATACAACATACCAGAATCTCTGGGACACATTTAAAGCAGTGTGTAGAAGGAAATTTATGGCACTAAATGCCCACAAGAGAAAGCAGGAAAGATCTAAAATTGACACTCTAACATCACAATTAAAAGAACTAGAGAAGCAAGAGCAAACACATTCGAAAGCTAGCAGAAGGCAAGAAATAACTAAGATCAGAGCAGAACTGAAGGAGACAGAGACACAAAAAACCCTCCCAAAAATCAATGAATCCAGGAGCTGGTTTTTTGAAAAGATCAACAAAATGGATAGACTGCTAGCAAGACTAATAAAGAAGAAAAGAGAGAAGAATCAAATAGATGCAATAAAAAATGAAAAAGGGGATATCATCACTGACCCCACAGAAATACAAACTACCATCGGAGAATACTATAAACACCTCTATGCAAATAAACTAGAAAACCTAGAAGACACGGATAAATCCTGGACACTTACACTCTCCCAAGACTAAACCAGGAAGAAGTTGAATCCCTGAATAGACCAATAGCAGGCTCTGAAATTGAGGCAATAATTAATAGCCTGCCAACCAATCCTGCTGGAGAGGATGTGGAGAAATAGGATCACTTTTACACTGTTGGTGGGACTGTAAACTAGTTCAACCATTGTGGAAGACAGTGTGGTGATTCCTCAAGGATCTAGAACTAGAAATACCATTTGACCCAGCCATCCCATTACTGGGTATATACCCAAAGGATTATAAATCATGCTGCCATAAAGACACATGCATATGTATGTTTACTGTGGCACTATTCACAATAGCAAAGACTTGGAATCAACCCAAATGTCCATCAGTGACAGACTGGATTAAGAAAATGTGGCACATATACACCATGGAATACTATGCAGCCATAAAAAAGGATGAGTTTGTGTCCTTTGTAGGGACATGGATGCAGCTGGAAACCATCATTCTCAGTAAACTATCACAAGAACAGAAAACCAAACACCGTATGTTCTCACTCATAGGTGGGAACTGAACAATGAGATCACTTGGACACAGGAAGGGGAACATCACACACCCGGGCCTATTGTGGGGAGCAGGGAGGTGGGAGGGATTGCATTAGGAGATATACCTAATATAAATGAGGGAGTTAATGGGTGCAGCACACCAACATGGCACATGTATACATATGTAACAAACCTGCACATTGTACACATGTACCCTAAAACTTAAAGTATAATAATAATTTTAAAAATCCACTTGTAACTGCTGCTAATCAGAGGGTATATTCAGGGCAACTTGAATCTGTACTCCTGAGTTGCAATCTTCAAGCTTGGCCCAAATAAACTCTCTACTTATATTAAAAAAAAAAAAAAAAAAAAAAAATCAAAGTTTCAGTAAATAATGGTTAAATAACTAGGTTTTTCTTCACTAATGGAATCATCCCTTAATTACAGAAACCAGAATCTATTATACTGTACTTTACACTAGCAAGATTAAAAAAAATCCAAATCTTTGGCCAAAGTTTTTCAAAAAAGCATCTCTCTTCTTCCCTCTGGTAAAGGAAAGTGTCACTGAGAATTCAGGAACATTAACATTTTAGCAAAAACCTGAAGAAGGTGAAGTACCCGCTTTGCAGAAAATATGCAAAAACAGCAAGTCCTAAGGCCCTAATGCAGGATCTTTGTGTGTTCAAGGAGATCATAAAGTGACCCGTATGGTTAGAGCTAAGAGCGAGGAGGAGAAGGGCAAAAGATGAGGTTTGAGAGCAAGCAGGGGGATTAGAACAGGTTGGGATTTGTAGATGATTTTGATTACTTTTACTCTGAGAAGGGAAGCTACGGGATGTCACTAGAGGGTTTGAGAAGAGGAGTGACATGATTTGACTTACATTTTAAAAGGATTGCTCTGGCTGTTGTGTTGAGAACAGAATCAGAGACAGGCAAGGTGGGCGGGTGAGAAAGGGGAACAAAGGCAAAAGCAGAGGAACCAATTTTTGCTAATGCAAAAATGTAAATACTCAGAATGATTATAGCTTGGTGGTGAGAAGTGGTCATATTTTGGACAAAAATGACTGGATTTACTGATGAACCCACTAGGAGTATGAGAGAAAGAGAAGAGTCAAGCTTAACTTCCAATTTTTGGCCTAAGCAAGAAGAATGATGGAGTGGCTATTTACTGAGGTGGGGAAGAGTGAAGAGAAGCAGGTTTTAGCAATAAGATCAGCAGTTTAGTTTTAGACCTGCTGAGTCTATGGTGCCTAGTCAGATATCCAAATAGAGATGTCACATAAGCAGTGGGGTTATGTGAAGATTTGGGGTTAGTGGGATTTCAGAGAAGAGATGTGAGCTAGAGATACAAATTTGGAAGTCAGTACCGTAGAGACTGTATTTAAACCATGAGGTTATCAATGGAGAAGGGATAGACAGAAAAGGGATTTAGGCCCA